TTTTGTCTTTTTGAGACAGGGTCTCCCTGTAGTCCCAGCTGTCCTGGAACTCACTATGTAGACCAGGCTGGCCTAGAACTCACAAAGATCGGCCTGCCTCTGCTGGCATTAAAGGCATGCACCACCACGCCTGGCACAGATTTGGTTTTTACTTTTATATTGAGACAGTTTTGCTGAATTTCTTAGACTGACATTAAACTTGTCCTGTATCCCAGTCAGGACTTGAACTCATGACCCTCCTGCTTCAGCTTCTTGAGTACTTGGAATTACAGGCTTCCACCACTAGACCTGACAATAGAAAAACTATATTTAATAAGTTTGGTTATATACCCTACAATACTGTTACCAAAATTTATTGAATGAGCTTGATTCATTTACTCTTTATTGAGCCATCCACTTACATATATGCTTTTCTCCAGTTTTTCCGGATTTTAAAGTTAAGCTGACCTTTATTCTTGCTGACATTTCTTCGTTATTTTCTTCTGCTTCCTTAGGATCACTTCTTCAATTTATTTCAATCAGTAATTCATTATTTTTGCTTTTGGTCCCCAACCCACTAACACCCCAATTTAAAACACGTTCTTCATGAATTTAGCAGGCTGCCTTGCAATGTGTGTGGCCAGCACCATCCAACTAAGCGCTACTGCCGTCATGTTAGTCACTCACATTTCCTGACGACATGATGTTTCTTACCTTTTCCTACCTGGTGTTCGATGATGCAGTTGGTCTCAACCTTTTTTCTCATGCCTCACATTGAAGTGTGTGATTATGATTCTTGGGTGATTGATTTCATGGTTCTCCTTAAAGAAAGAGGCCTAAATGAACTTTCATGATTGGATTCAGGAGTCAAGTTGGGATTTTCAGACTCAGCCTTAGGTGGTGCCTGTTGGCTTATGAGCCAGTAGACTAATTAGCAATAATCTAGGTTGAGAATATAACTTACTGCTTCGAATTTAGACACTGTCTTTGGAAAACATGATGAAAAATTAGATTTGTTCAGTGTTTTTGTCTTTGCTGTATTTTGAAAATTCATGAATTTAATCATAAATAGAAAGCAGCCAATACAGTTACCTTAGAAAAGTTTGCCAAATGCAGTCAAAGGGGAAAAGTGAATAAACCGTTCATTTGAATGGCACCTCAGTCCTGAGAGATTCTCAGTAATGTGCTAAATGAGAAGATTTTCGCAGAAGCATTCACAAGCATGGTGGAAGCACTTTGTTGTCCTTCAAAATATTTTAATGCAGGTCGGAACATCGGTGTCGGAGAAAAGTTGTTTTAAAATCATTGGAAAGTGAACTTTTCATGTCTGACTTTTTCAAGTATATTCTGATACAAGCTGTTCATTTCCTATGGGATACCATATTCTTTATAAAGACCTGGAGATAATCCAAAATGAATGTCTTCAGTTCACAGTGTTACGCTAACCAGTAATGGTATTACTCAATAACAAAGCTTTTGGGAATTATCCTACAGCCCTTTGGCAAACTGATGAAGATGTAAGGCTTGAGAGCGGGCCAGTTCGTGGCAGTTTTCTTTCCTGGGAGAAAGTGTGTTGAGCAGAAGTGGAAATGAGAGAGCCAGAAATGAAAGGGAAGGGGAATAAATTCAAGAGCAAGTTGCCACTCAGGGGCTACCAAAGCTTACTTCGATTGTTTGTAGAGCTCGTATACCAAATTGGTGGCCAAGTGTGGGAACAGTATTTACACAGTTGGAATTATGTTCTAATAAGAATCATCATTACTTTTTTTGGACTTTTCTTTATAAGGAGACACTACTGTGTCTCTGTCTTCTCGTGGTAATAACTTGTAGGCCGAGGGTAGCACTTACCCTACTTACAGAAGTATGATTTTAATTTTTAACCACATTCCCTGCTACTTAGTGCCTTGTTTCAGGGTGATCTCAATGAAGTCAACCCACTGGTCTTCAAAGCCTTTTGAGCTTGAGAGATAGAAAAAGTAGAATGCAGCCAGAAAGTGGTTAAGCAATAGACTGAGTTTTCGTTCTGAGTACAGGACAATTAGATGTCTATTGCTGCTGATAGCTAGCTTGTATTTGATTGATCCCTTTATAAAAGTAGAAATTAAGAACCCAAACCACCCAGTTTACTAATAAATACAGGGCTTATCCTGAAATGAATTTAAATCTCAGCCTAATTTTTTCCCAGATATTTCTTTATAATAGTGACTGCTAAACTCTGTGTCTTGGGGAGACCGAGACTGTT